ACCCCCGCAATTTTTTATTTAATCAAGAAAACGCTCTTGATACTTCATTTTGGCGCCCAACGTGGGGCCTGTGATAATTTAAAGATAAAATATCGTGAAATCTCGCACTTTCGCGAAAAGTCAACTTAGCATTCTCGGCTACCGTTTCTAAAACGTAGCTCAACATTCACGGCATCAAAGGAGTTTCCTACCGTAACAAATATATTTTCGACATTTTGGGCTGCTTATCCAAAAGCGCAGGCCGCATAGTGCATAAGGAAGCTTGTGTATCCATCGGTACCTGGTACACCGAAAGCATACATCTTTCGACATAGTAAGGCTGCCGGAGTCTCAATCCAGCGCAATCCCGTTTCAAACACATTGCTATAGGAGCTTTGTAGTTGCTAACTATTTCGCTACAGGAGCGTTGTTGTTAGCGGTTCTTTCATATCAGGTCACCTTGCAAAGCAACGTTATTTGCTATTGCGAGCACATACAGTACATACAAGGTAGTCTCACACTACTTCTCTTGCAAGCGTTGTTGTTATTGTTGGCGGTATTTCAAAGCCAAGCCGCTATAGTAGAATTGGGCTCGCAAAGGGTCCCGCCAAACAAAATATACTTAGAGAAAAATTTTGTACAGCCCATAAATCTGAGAAGCGGGCAATAGATTTGCTATCTCATAACCATGCCCAATTTGGAGCAACTTAAACAGCAGCGCGCTAATCTGCGTCGAAACATATCGCGCATTCGCAATTCTGTCGACACAAAACTTGCAATTTCGTCCGCTGAATTGAATTGTCGTTTGGCTATATTAGAGGCCTACTTTAAGCAAGTTATGACAGTTCAGACCGAAATTGAGCAGCTGGATCCAGACGAAGCAGAGCGTGAGACCAGAGGAGAAATAGAAGATACGTACGTCGCTATCAAGGTGTGCATTAATGAGCAGCTAGGTTCAGATGCCCACAATTTGACTGTTGCTGACTCAGTTCATTGCGCTTCTCACTCAACTTCTATGAAGCTGCCACGTCTGTCACTACCAGTTTTTGATGGAAAATACTCCGACTATAAAAACTTTATAACATCGTTTAAGTTAGTCGTTGATAAGCAGTCTACTTTGTCATCCATCGAAAAGTTCAATCAACTAATCAATTGCTTACGTGGCCCGGCCTTAGAAACTGTCAAGGCTTTTCAAATCACTTCGGAAAATTATTCAAAGGCGCTGGAACGCCTCAAGGCCCGCTATGATAATCCAACGCTCGTATTCTTGGACAACATAAATTCGCTTTTTACTTTACCTAGTGTTTCAAGGTCAAATGCGAAACAGCTTCGTAGCCTGATCGACAACTCATCAGCCTTGTACAATTCATTGTTGTCACTGGGTAATGCATCGCAAATTGCTGAGGCTATGCTTATCTCCATCGTTATGGAAAGGGTGGATCAAGACACCAAAAAGAAATGGAATGAGCATTTGAACTTCAGCGATCTTCCTACATGGACATCCTGCGTTTCGGTTGTCGAACGACATTGCCAATTCTTGGAGTCAATAAGTAAGCCCGGTACCGATAGTAGCGCGAGTCAGCAAGCTATTGGTAAGCCACGAAACCAAAAACACCAGCGCCAAGGGTTGACTTTCAACTGCACATCGCAAACGTATCATTCATGCGCTAGCACGGAGCACAGAACTTACAGGTGTCCTCAAATCGTTGGTGCTACACTCAATCAGCGTTACGACATCACTAAGCGACTGGGACTTTGTCTCAATTGCTTGGGCAAGGGTCATCAGGCTGCGAAATGCCCATCCACACACAGGTGTCGATCGTGTTCTCGCTCCCATCATACACTATTGCATCGTGATTCAGCTGGTATGTCTTCGTCTTCACCGCAGTCAACTCCGCAACTCCCTGAAGTACCACAGAAGAACTCAGAAGCAGCTGTTCACACTCACACCGGCTTGAATCGAATAATTTTAGCCACAGCTTTGGTTCTGGTCAAGGATGCGTCAGGCTGTTATAAAATTGGTCGTGCGCTCCTAGACTCTTGTTCACAAGTCAATTTCGTATCGGATCAATTCGCACAGGCTCTCCGATTACCTCGCAAACGAAGCCATATGGAAATTCGCAGCATTGGAGAATCCCAGACTCAGATAAAACATCGAACGTCTACAACAATCAAGTCACGTTTTGGAGAATTCGAACTACCGCTAGATTTCTGTGTTACTTCGAATATTGCATATCATCCAGACACAGAAATTGATATCTCATCATGGAAGCTGCCTCAAAATACTCCGTTGGCCGACGAAGGGTTCAACAAAGCTCGTCCTATTGATTTGCTGTTAGGGACAGAAGCGTTTTTCGACATCTTATCCATTGGCCAAGTCAGGCTTGGTGTAAATATGCCAGTGTTGCAGAAGACGCTCCTTGGATGGGTAGTTTCGGGCCGTTGCCAAACCGGCTCCACCACATCACACAGTTACTCGATTTCCATGGACGAAGTCATCAACAACAACATAGAACGCCTGTGGCGCATTGAAGAGGTTAACACTTCTGTTGACATTTACACTCCAGAGCAGCGCAGTTGTGAAGAGGCTTTCAAAAACACCGTTCGCCGACAACCTGATGGCCGAGTGGTAGTTCGCCTCCCATTCAAAGATGATCCTGGTTTGTTAGGCCACTCGTATGAAATTGCCCGTAAACGTTTTGAAGCTCTTGAGCGCCGCTTGAGCCGCACATCAGATGTGAAAAGGCAATACGCAGATTTTATGTTAGAGTACGAACAGTTGGGCCATATGAGCTTGGTGACAACACCGAAGTTGGATGTCCCACATTTTTACATACCGCACCACTGCGTACTCAAGCCGAACAGTACCACTACGAAATTAAGAGTGGTTTTCGATGCTTCTTGTCAGACAACGACACAAAGGTCTCTGAACGATTTACTAATGGTCGGACCGACCATACAGCCCGACTTGTACACGTTACTTCTACGCTTCCGTACATATCGTTATGCAATTACCGCCGATGTCGTCAAGATGTTCAGACAGATTCTTGTCGACCCCCATGATCGCAAGTTTCAATATATACTTTGGAGAAGTACACCCGATCAACCATTACGCACATTTGAACACAGTCACTTATGGGACTGCTACCGCGCCATATCTCGCTATACGTAGCATGCAATACTTAGCTGAGCAATGCATGGACGAGTTCAAGGTAGGAGCCGAGGCTATAAAATCATCCTTCTACGTTGATGATTTCATTTGTGGAGCTAACACGTTGGAATGCCTTCATCAAATCAAAACGGAGGTAATTGAGATACTTCGTCGTGGTAGATTTGAGCTAGCGAAATGGCACTCGAACTATAGCGAGTTTGTTAATGACTGTACGATTAAAGATCTTAACTTAGAAGACGATTCAGTAACCAGCACTCTGGGCTTAAGGTGGGATCAACGAGAAGACGTCTTTATGTTTGCATTTGTACTCAAGCGCACATCACATTCTGTCACGAAGCGGTCTATACTATCAATTGCTTCGTCTCTCTTTGACCCATTGGGCTTGGTGTCACCTATCATCATACTTGCAAAAATACTTATACAAGAGCTTTGGTTGCTAAAATTACAGTGGGATGAGTCAGTTCCGCACAACATTCACACCGCATGGACATCGTTCCTCTCATCGCTTTCATCGTTGGAATCGCTAACTATACCGCGCTATTGCCTTCAACCCAGCGTTCAGAGCCTTCAGTTGCACGGCTTCTGTGATGCCTCAATTAGGGCTTATGGATGCTGTATATATGCACGCACAGTTGACCCTAGCGGTGAAGTCAAGGTCACGTTGATTACATCCAAGTCGAGAGTCGCCCCAACGAGGAAACTGTCATTGCCCAAATTGGAATTATGCGGTGCTCATTTGCTGTCACAACTTTACGCTAAAATAAAGGTGAATTTCGGCGATACCCAATATACAACGTATCTATGGAGCGATTCACAAATCGTTCTACACTGGATTCAACAGCATTCCGCCGCACTATCTACGTTCGTAGGAAATCGTATTTCTGAAATACAACAAAAAACATCTTGTTGCGAATGGAAATACGTTTCAACGCACTATAATCCAGCTGATCTGCTTTCCAGGGGGTGCTCAGTGAGTGAGCTGCAGCAGTCCATATGGTTCGAAGGGCCGGCATACCTGCAACGCCACCAAGACGAGTGGCCGACGCACCATCGAGGTGATATTGATCAAGATATAGTGAACTTAGAGAAACGTAAATCGGCTTTCGCTACTGTTAATGCCACTAACGACCTACTCGAAGCAGTGTATAAAATTAGCTCGCACAGCCGATGCTTACAAATCGTAGCCTGGATGTTTAGGTTCAGCAACTTAAGTAGAAAATTGGGTTCGTTCGATACATTGTCGCCGTCACCACAAGAGCTGTTACATGCTTTGCATTGCATCATTTGGAACCTGCAAATAAGGCACTATTCCGATGACATCAAAGCACTTCGCAAAGGCCAACAGGTCTGTAGTAATCTTAAATTTTTAAATCCTTTTTTGCAGATAACTGACGGGTTCATGCTGATGAAAGTTGGAGGTCGATTGGAGATGGCAAATATTCTGTATACACAGAAGCACCCGATACTACTTCCAGGCAAGGATGACTTTGTCCGCCAGTACGTGCAGTTCGTTCATCGCCAAAATTACCATGCGGGTCCAAAGGCATTAGTTGCACTCATACGCCTACGCTTTTGGATCATCAATGCACGGGATTTAGCTCGCCGTGTCGTCCGATCTTGCGTGCACTGCGTTCGTTATCGGCCAAAGCTGGAAGGGCAAATAATGGGTCAGCTTCCCGTCGAACGGCTCACCCCATCAAGACCATTTGCAAGATGCGGAGTGGATTTCTGCGGTCCAGTCAATACGTACCTACGCCTTCGAGGCAAGGTTCCCTACAAAAGCTACATCGCAATTTTCGTGTGCTTCGCGACGAAGGCAGTGCACGTTGAAGTTGTGTCAGACTTGTCGTCCGATGCATTTATCGCCGCCCTGAAACGGTTGGTAGCCAGGCGTGGACTACCGTCCGATATCTTCTGCGATAATGCTACCAATTTCGTTGGAGCCAGCAACCAATTAGAGGCCCTCAAGCAATTTTTGTTTAAGGATGACACAATCAAATCGATCAACAAATTTTGTGTACGTGAGTTCATCAACTTCCATTTCATCCCTCCCAGAGCCCCCCATTTCGGCGGCTTGTGGGAGGCTGCAGTTAAGAGCGTCAAGGGACTAATCAACCGCACTCTTATGAACGCTCGTTTAACATTCGAGGAGCTTACAACTGTCACAGCTGAGGTGGAGGCGATTCTGAATTCTCGCCCTTTGTCACCACTCTCTTCAGACCCGAATGACCTAGCCGCAATCACCCCGGGCCACTTCCTCATTGGCGACTCATTACGTGCATTGCCCGAGACACCCGTCACAGAGCTGGGTAAGTTAGAACGATGGCGAAGAGTGGGCGCGATCAAACAACAACTTTGGCGTCGATGGTCGCTGGAGTATATCAATGAGCTGCAGGTGCGTAGTAACTGGACCAAGCCATCCCCAAATGTGTGTGTGGGAGCGATGGTTATCGTGCATGACGACAATTTACCACCGCAGTGTTGGATGCTAGGTCGTATCGAAAGAGTCATACGTGGAGAGGAAGATCAAGTGCGCGTGGCTGATGTTCGCACTGCAAAGGGAGTTATCCGCCGCCCCATACATAAGATAGCGCTATTACCAGTTACTTGAAAGTTCTACGTACTTTCAACGGGGCCGGGATGTTGGGTCAAGTGCACATTATTTAGGTCATATCAACATTGTCTAACTTACATTTATAAGGGTTAAGGTTATATGTATATCTAGCTCTTGCTGAAAAAGCATTGTTAACTTAAGGTTTAATATTTTGCTCTTATACGTGTACTCCCGCTACCTGTCATTGTGGTTTCTTCTTTTGCCCTTTTTTTTCGCAAACTGATGGAGAGAAAAATAAAGTTTTTTGGTTGTGTAGTTGAACAGCGAGACAACACGCGTGTTTTATTTGCGATTTTCACCCCCGCAATTTTTTATTTAATCAAGAAAACGCTCTTGATACTTCACTCAATTTGAAAAAGACGATAATTTCGCAAATTTTTAAAACGTATTCTACCTTTTTAATTTTTGACCTCACATTCAGATTGTGTAGGTTATTTTACATGGCAAATGACTATAAAATTCACGACTTTCAACTATTTTGTTAGAATTTTTTTTCCCAGAGTGCATATGGTTTTCTAAATTTTCAAATGCAACGCGCAAGTACTTAGAGTTATCATATTCGAATAAAATTTTGCACTGCTTATTTTTAGACCAAAACTTATCTTTTTCCGCCCGGCAAACCAAATTTTAATTTTAACGAACGGTCTAATGGTGACACACATTTTCTTATGTTACTTTTTGATTGCACTGGTACAAATGGTTGTGCGAAGTTATGCGAAGTATGCATAATCAGACCTTAAGGCCGAGGCCACGCAATGAGCGGCCGAGCGGTGAGCGGCTGAGAGCGCCGTACAGAAATGACGCTGATCTTATAAAAGCTTTTATTAATATTTTAATTGCAGTGCCTTTGCTTTTCAGTAATTTGATTTGAGGTTCCATAAAATGAAAGGTGTTTAGTGTGGGTTCCATTATCTTAAAAGTTTGGGAACCCCTGGTCTTGGACACCCTTCATACATATTAGAGGTATACGTTGCTTGTCATTCTTCGCCGCCGCCGAGTTACGAAAATATCGGCGCGAGGGCGGCGGCGGAGGCGTTCGGCGCCTAAGGAATTTTGTACAACATTTTCAAGATATATGTACATTGAATACATCGTTTGAAGGAACTAAATACTATTTGTATAAAAACACAATTTTACGAAATGGAAATTACATTTTTAAAGTAGTTTTTTGCATAATTTGGGCCACTGGACAAGAATATTATCTCCTTTATTTTTCTTAAAATAGCGTAACTCAGAAAAAACCTAGGTAACATAGTTTTCGACGGAAGCGTTTATTACAGTTAACTTGGGGTCGAATACTGGTAATCTAATGATTTTTTTCCGCAGTAGACAATTCTTTTCAATACTACAACAATACTACTTTTTATACACCTACTACAACAACAAGAAAGTTATAACACATCAAAAACTTTAACGCCAATATCTCAGAAAGCAGTTTTAATAGAAGCGGCCTCTTTGCATCTAACTCCTCAATTATTGGAGATAAAACAAAGATAATATTTTAATATTTTAAACAAGCACATTTTTTGCTAATATTTACATTCGTAAGTTATTTTTTTCTTTGGTCCCACATACGTTTACAAGTACTAGGTGGCTGTGTAAAAATTCCTTAGTGGTGGTCAAACCCCAGGAAGGTTTTGCTCCCTCGCATCGCAATGTTTTCTACACAGGGTTAAAAATCCCTCTTTATGGTAAACATTAGTATTATTTTTCATTACATTCGGTTCTCCTTAGAAAAATTTGGCGCTTCATATTTTAGTGGAAATTTTAACCATCTATAAGCCTTTTTTTCAACAGTGAGTCAATAAGGCCCGTTCTGGTTCGAGTTGATGGGTTAAACTTTAGGAAAAAAGTAGACCAACCTTGATTTCAATATGTAAGAGTGCGGTTACCCACGAAAGTGTACGTAGCGTAGCGTAGAAGTACGTAGAAACATATCAAGTTTGCTGTTGATAAAAAGAGAGAAAAGCACCGTCTACGTCACGGTCATGCGTTGGTGAGTTTTTGTTAACACGCAGATCCCATAAGATAGATCGTGTCAGCTGACACGTCCTCCGTTTTTACGTCCGTTGGTAACTGCGCTTTAAATCGCAAAAAATCGTAAGAACTCCGTAATTTAACATAACGGTTGATAAGATTATTGCAAAAATTTATTGAGAGCGACATAAATTACCCCAATAACTAAACTTTAAAATTTTTTTATTTCTTTAAATTTAAATAGTAAATACGGATCTGTAGAGAACATAGAGATCCGTGTGTGTATGTATGTATATACCTCAGACCTTCTTCTGTTCGCCCATCAATCAGCGCCAGACACTCCACATTTTAATTCAAGTAGGAAGTAACAATGTTTAAATTTAAAACTAATTCAATAATGAAATAAATAGAATTATAATAATAGAATAATTGGCATGGCGAATGCCTAACGCTGATGAGTTGATAAGATTAGTAGCCTCATGGCTCTTTGAAATCTACCTTATGAGCAGTAGCGCCGGCGTTTCCAGACGCGCCGGCGTCGCCGCCGCCGCCGGATATTTTTGAAGTTGACCACGCCGCCGTCGCAAAGCCTGTCGGCGTAAACCTCTAATACATATGTACTTTACTCAAGGTAACTCTCAGGCAAATAATGTTAAATAGATTAAATTGGGCTTTGTTTGTCAAGCGCATTCGA